TACAGCACCCCGTGCAGAGCCCCCATGCGGCTGGGAAGGTGGGTGCTGCGCAGGGTGGTCTCCAACAGGCGGCACACAGGCTCCGCTATTGCTTTGTCCTACAGATGTACATTTTAGAGTGTTCAGACACTGTGTAGTGTAGGATTATTGACAAACTCCTGCATCTTATCACATCCTTCCGACCACACTAAGCTGTACTCACCATTCCCAGGACGGCGGCAGCCTTGCAGATGGCAGGCACCAGGTATTGGTTGAGGATCTCGTCCTCTGGGGGGTGGAGCTTCTGCAGTTCCATCAGGGTGGAGAACATCATGTCGAACTGGTTCCTCTCTGTGAACAGGTCCGACACCGCCAGCAGCTACAGAGAACAACAGGAGGAAGACAGTGAGAGGTTGAGAGCAGTGTTACGGGTTACATTCCACTCTGTTATTATTACGCATAGTTTTAATGAAAAGATATGGGCAAGATACTATAAATAGTGGATTTCATTTCCCATTCCCGAAAGCACTTTGTTAATCTCTCCTTCCTTACAGAGAGGAGAAGAGTATACGCTCTTTGGATTATTTCAAGGTTTGGTCAGTCCCCCCTAGTGGAGCTGAACATACACATGAACATTTATTGTTTAGTCCCCTCAAACATTTCTTGTTTTCTCAGAAAAGACAAGGTTATAGAATTCTATCTGTTTCTGGGGTGAGGAAATAGCAAACTAGAGTCTTTTTCTAATGCCATGTTAAGAATAACTTTACAACTGTAAACAGATATAGGAAAACTCTCTTGACTAGTATTAACTGATGTCTGGTTGAAGTGGTGCATGGTAGCTCACCGATCGGACCACCTCACTGATGAGGATGGTCGGGGTCCTCCTGTTGCTCGGGGAGCCGGGGATCAGCCACTGACTGTAGAGCTCCAGGAGGAACTGGGAACACGAATGAATGTCCACTCCTGCACGGTGCTTCCTGAAAGCAGGAAATACAGCGGTAAGTCATGTTAGGTATTCCCGTTCAGTGCATATGTGTGCGGGGAACATCTTGTTTGACAGACCTGGAGTTGATAGGAGATGTGGGCGGGGAGATGGGGGCTGGAGTGTCTGCTTCATCTTCTTCATCCTCCCCCCATTCTTCCTCTCTCAGTGGGGTGATGTTGTTACCTAGCCACACTGAGTGGATGGAGACCTAGAGGGTGAAGGAAACAAATGTTCATTGTGATAATGAAAATCTCTTAAAGTTTAGAACCTAAACCAAAACACACTGTTCCTCGTAGGGCTGGGCATTCATATATCAATTGTGATGAGATATCGTCAAATATTTTGGATATCGTAGTATCAGAACATAATGGTTGTCTTTCCCTGGTTTTAAAGACTGCATTATAATAAAATACTTTCTAATGCTTATTATTTGTCTTTAGCCACCAAGTCATTATATCTACATTACTCATGATTATTTATCAAAAATCTCATTGTCTATATATTTTAAAGCACATAGTCATCTTAACATTGATATTGAGGTATTTGGTAAAAAAACAAAACACAATATTGTATAAACTCCATTTAGCCCAGCTGTTTTCATGCATCACATACCTGTCCTAGTTTGTAGTCCATATTTCCCATCTCCCTCTCTGTGTTGATCTGAAGCAGCAGCTTCTCATGGCTGATCAGTGTGCCTGCTAAAAATAAAAAATAAATAAAAAGAAAATTAGAGTTTGGAGGTGTGAGGGCAGCAGCTGTAGGCCTGGTGAGAGGCTTTGTGGATGTGTTACCAGCGGAAGCTGCCGACAGTGAGGGCACAGGGTCCCAGGCGTGGTATGGGTGGTGTGTGTGGACGTTGTCTCTCTTCGACACAAGAGACTGAATCTCTCTCTCCACCTCGCCTCTGATCACTGCCAGTTTCCTTCCAAACCTGGGCACATAGTGTTATTGTGATTAATAGTGTATTATTTTTTTATTATTATACTGGTATTTGTTTGGCTAAAATAATATATTGTATTGTTATTATTATGAATGACTATACATTTCCTAATAATGTCCTGTAGAAACATAAATGATTTTATCTAATGTAAATCAAGTGTGATTGTGTAAGCGTACCGTGTTTCCAGGGCTTTGAGGCTCTTGTTGCGAGGCTGCTGTTCCAGACAGCTGACTGCAGGATTGCCAGCAGTGGGCAGGGTCATGGCACTCAGCACCAGGCTGGTGATGGCCTGCACTGCTAACACATTCAACTGGGTTCGCTCCAAGTCCTCCTAGAGACAAAGAGGAGAAACAAAACATTGAGCAGGATGGGAAAAACTAAATAGCTATGGTGTAATTAAATACACAAAGCATGAGTATGTCTTCACGGCTCACACACTGAATTTACACAAAGGCATGATTTTTAAGTCTTCGTAATTATTGGATGTCTACATTTGATACATTTTCTGAGACCTTTAGAGTCAAAATGACCCCTTCTCCTCTTATGGTAATATTTGGAGTCGTTCCGGAGGAGATTGTCTTTTCCAGACATTACTAAAACGCTGTGGCTTTCGCTGCCCTAAATGCTAGGCGACTTGGAAGCGTCTCACATTTATGTCCAGTGGGTGGCGGAACTTATCTCGTTATCTTTCAGGTAGCTCACAGTCTCAAAAAGATTGGTGATCTCTGAGTTACAGGATTGATGGGGTTCTGTAGACATATCAGATTCACTAACCAGCAGCACGTTTAAGGATATAAAGAATATTCTTGAGTGTGTGTGTTTACCTCCTGCTGCGTCTCCTCCTCCTGGTCCATAGTGATGGGTTGGGTGACCAGCACCCCCAGCAGTGTGGCCCAGGTCTCCTCAAACTGAGTCCTGCTGCTCCAGCCTTGAAGGTATAACAGAGCAATTTACATGAAGCCCAAAATGCAGAAAGTTTCCAGCGCAATAATATTCTAGACTTGCAAAAATGGGTAAGAGACAATAGGGCTGTGAAAATGGCCAGAAGTAATTCAAACGTATTCCTAATAAATAAAAAAAACATATGTTGCAACCGTACAAATAAACAGTGTTACGCATTAGGTCCATGAATGTCCTAAATGGGCGGCGTAGTAGTATCATTTATATTTTATTTATTCAAACGTCTTTAACCACACGCCAAAGCACGTGCAATTCACACATAAATACTCAGATTTGAAATCCTTGTTGACAGCCCTAGTAGACAACATCATTTATTTTATAAACCTAAATAAGACTTTAAAGGGACAGCATGTTTCATGACTGTACCCAGTGTGTTGATGCGGTAGAGGAACTCTCTGAAGACATCCTTTTCCTGCAGGAAGTCCACAGGGATCTCAGGCAGCGTGGTGCCGTACTCTCCTCCTGGCTGAGGGGACCAGCCCAGTTTCCAAACCTACACACAAACACAACATTTAAATATACAAATCCATCCATTTGTACAAACTCTATGCATGATATCTTACACACACTGACCAGTGGAGGTACTCGGGTGTAGCTGTTGACCAGAGGCAGCCGGGACAGACTGATGACAATGTTGCGCAGGGTTGGTGTGAGGAAAGCGGGAAATGCACTGTTTCTATGGTGACCCAGGGCAAGGATGCTCTGCAGGCCTTCCACCAGCTCCGCCATGATCTCGCATGCTTGCGACTCGCAAATGTCTGCAACATACAGGTGAAAGCTTTTAGAGATATATGATGACAAATTCCCCTTGTAGGTCAGAGGACATTCCTTTCAATAGAGTGGCAAAGCAAAGCCCTTAAATTCCAAATCACATGAAACAACCCAGAAGTTTGACTGACTCTCTTAAAAGAGCACTTACGGTCAGCAAGTGCCGTGTCCACCTCGTCTCCTTCGGCGTCTCTCTCCGCCCTAGTCTTCTTCTTCTCCGGATGCAGAAGCTGGTCACCAGGACTCACAGCAACTAGAAAGGCGAGACAAACCGTTAGACCGTTATTGAAATGACAATCAGAAATGCTGAGTCTTAGGTCACTCATGGCCTACAATATTTATAATATATTATACATAATAGGCATTTCACATGGGGCTATTTGCCATCGAGTACTGTACTTTAATAAAAATGTAGGCGCTGATACTTGAGTAAAAGTACAAAGTATCAAAATGTGAAAATACTTTGTACTTTTACTCAACTAGTTTGTTAGCCAATATTGTACCTTTAACTCCACCACATTATATGTACATGTGACTTCTATGTTTTATTAAGATACATTTTACAAGTTTCCTCAATTGCGGATGAATTCCATGGAATGTTCCATCAGAGTGGATGGAACTCCAGAATGGAACACTGGAAGGTTTTAGAAACATATGGACCGGCTTCCAGGCCAACTGTTCAGTTATTCACCTGAAATTGAGACGCACAGACACACATCTGTTGCTCCTCACCGCCTTTTCAACACAAGTACGATTTGATTCAGAACTATCAGAGACAATAAGTGACATGTCAGTCACAGGTAAGCAGAGAGTAGTAAACAAAAGTCAGTAAAGTCAAGTCCGGAAAAACAGACTTAAGTTTATGTTTGCCCAATGCACTGTTTTTATTTAGTCTGTGGTTACAAAATAAGAACCAGGTTTAGTACTAAGTGATCAAATACATGTTTCCTATTTTTTTTAAAACTAATGAAAGTAACATGTCATGGTTAGAAAAATCTTCTTTTTTTTTTAATCCTAAATCTTGTAATTGAGTACATCTTTCTAAATAAAGTTGCACTTTATTTTTTCTCCATTGCCCCAGAAACATGTAAATCTGGAATTTACAAAACTTAAGTTGAGCGGGTTTTTTCTCAAATTTGTTATATGTCCAGGGACGCATTCAGAATCGAAAGAAAAAACAAAAAGGATATTTGATCTTGCATTAGAAATCAGTGAAAGCACTGAGTGAATGTGATATAGACTGTGAAATGTAACTTTGTATCCATTTCCTCCTCTTTCCTCTCCTCCACAGACGATTTCCCGATCCACGAGGGGACCCTGCTGTCCTCCGGCTACGAGGTGCAGGCCTTTCTCGGGGAGGGCAGCTTTGGTAAGGTGGCCATGTGTATGGACAATGTAACCAACACAAAGAAGGCCGTTAAAATATCCAAGGATGGACCCCTTTTCTTTGAGCGAGCTATGGAAGAGGTAGGTTACAAACTCTTATTATAAAATCTGAAGCTGCATTATGAGATATTTTGAAATGAGAAACCTACAACCTCGTATTGAAGGGGACAAACAAATGGCAATAATCACATTTTGTATTTCTTCCACAGATTAAAATTCTCCAGAAGCTGCAGACTCTCGATTCCGATAAATGCAGTCTGGTGAAATGGTATGGCTCGTTCTACCATGAAAAGTTAATTTGTTTGGAGTTTGAGCTCCTGGACCTGAGTCTCTATGAGTACATGCTGCAGAGAAAACACAACGCTCTGCCCATAGCTGAGATCCATCCAGTTTTACGTCAAGTATGTGGAATCATTCCTTTCTTTAGGAGCATCATTTAATTACTTGAGATTTAATGAGAAATCAGAACTGAAAATGTACATTGTTGTGATCCTAAAGCATCTCAATCTTTGTGTTTCTTCAGCTGACAACAGCACTGCTCCACCTTGAGGCCCTGGAAATAATCCACGCTGATATAAAGCCTGAGAATATTATGGTGGTGAACCGCTTGCAGCATCCGCTTCAGGTCAAACTCATTGACTTCGGCCTGGCTCGCCACGTGTCCGAGGCCGTTCCAGGGACCGCTGTTCAGAGTCTGTGGTACAGGTAGGAATAATAAAACATGTGGCACAGAGGCTGCGGCTTTGATGCAAACATTAAAAGTCTGTTTCTGTAAAGGAAAATAAACAAAAGTGAGCTTAAAATAAGTTTTCCTCTCCTTTCAGGGCACCAGAGGTCCTCCTGGGCATGGACTTCAGTGAACAGATTGACATGTGGTCTCTCGGTGCTGTGATTGCGGAAATAGCAGCAGGCTTTGGACTGTTCCCCGCGGACCCACGAATATGACAACACTGAAAAAAATTGTGAACTGGTGGGTCAGCCTCCAGGATGTTTCTTTTGAACTGGTGGGACCAAAAAAGCAGGCTTCTTACTTTTAACATCAGAGGGGAGCTACCAAACAGCAAATCTGGGCACTTAAGGTGGGTGTGTGTGTCCGGTCCGGTCCGCTCCTTCTCAGCGGGATAAAACAAGTAACCAAAAGTGTTTCTCCCTCCTGTAACTCTCAAGGGGAAGTTGCATTTACAGACTGGGCCATTCAACCTTCAGAGGGGATAGGAAAAACCCAAAGGGTTGCTCCAACCCTGAGGGGTCTCTTGATGGGACCTGGGGAGGTAGGTTTTTCTTTTTATTAAGGGATAATAATGTCATTAACAAGTATTTTTCTACCCAAATGTAAGCCTGTTTTTATGACTGCGTTGGCTGGTGTTTAAAAGATGACCTTAGGGACAGGTTTTAACCTTCAAATTTTCTTTTCGCAGGCGTAATTCCATTAAGGGGACCCACATGGCAAGAGAGAGGGAGTGCGAACTTGTGGAACCTTCTTGAAAAGATGCTTGTAGTTGGGGCCGACAAGTGGGGGGGACGGATTTTTTCCCCTCGCCATTCCTGGGAGCCAATCCTTCTTCGCTTGTGGAGCAGGACCTGGAAGGTCAGGGCCAGAAACGGGCACTGAAAAACCGTGAGTTGCTTTCAGCCTTCTTCTTCATGTCAACGAGTCTCACCCACAAACGGCCTTCACTGGACTAAGAGCTTCCCCAAAAGCGGCATTTGGAAAACGTAATCTTTTTGATAGCAGAGGGAACTCTGAAAAAAACAAGTGTCACTCTGCAAAGCATTTCAAAGGGAAACGTCCAAAGAGTGTTCGTCAAGGGGGGGGCTGTGGGGACTCGTTCCCCGAGCAAAGATAGTTCTCTGCTCAGCAGGAAAACGGGTTTATTTTAAGCTTGCGACGAAAGCTGCTCACATGAGGGCCTGGTCAAGTCCCCAACCATGTCTATAAAGCCCCCTCACCAGGGGTCTCATGTGTTTTTTAGATTCGCACTAGACTTCTTTGTGGTTGTTTTTTCAGGGGGTTATCAAAGTGACCGCGGCGAAAGAAAAAAGCAGAGTCAGGAGATTCTTGAAAGAGCATCAGGAAACGCCTCTCTCTGCTTCCCTTGTTTCCGCTGTGGACAGGCAACTTGAACCACCCCCCAATTTTGGGGCCCTGGTCTTTCGTATTCTATTGTTTAAATGGTTTTGGTTTTTTTTCCTCAGTAAATATATGTGGACTTCAACTTTAAAAAGCCTTGTGTGATGTGTGGTGAACTTAATAAAGGGGAGATTTTACTTTCTGGTTCCTGTTTTTGTTATTATAGTATACCAATAACTTGGTATGTTGGTTTAGTAATTTATGCCGTTTTCGTAACTTAAGGAAATGTGATCTTCTTATAGTGTGCCATTATTTTTAGGTTAGTTTGAGGGTATGTTTTCTACCGGGGAAAAAGATGGAACGTAAACCAACCCCCTTTTTCTTTGTGATTTGTTGAAACACAAGAAGCAGTAAGTTGACCAAACCAAATTCATGAATTTTTAATTGAGCGAATTCCACAAAAGCTCTTCGAGGGGTTATTTGAAGAACAAGTGTGGGTTCCAATTGGAGAAAAACTAAGCAAAATCATCTGGTCGATGGAGGGATATTGTCCCAAAAACGCTTCTCAGGGTACTTAAATATTTAAAACCCACAATTCTATTTAAAGATAAAAGTGAGGATTTTTTCGTAAGGGGATTAAAAAAATGAGGGGTTTAAAGGTTTATGGGTTTTGCCATTTCTGACCTAGAAATAGAATAATAGAAGGATTAAATTAAGGTAGAACATCCCAAAAAAAAAATATACATAAACTGAAAACTTTTGTTGCCCTTACTGAGGAGCACAATATTACTCTTCTTTCCACTTCCAGGGTGGGTTCCCAACAGGGCTTCAGTTTAGGCCTTTATCGCGCACTTGCTTTACCAGTAACCCATACTTGGAAGCAACGGGCCATGGCAGTTCCACTTGTGGTATGGCAGGGACGGGGATAGGGGGCTAACATCACAAAATAAGTTCCGAACTTGATATTTCTTATTTTATTTTTTTTTGTTTTTTACTGCATTTACCAGGTAGGTCGGATCCCTTTTCCCCGTTAGATTAGGGATAACGAGAAAAAAGAACTATACATTTTGTCCAAGAAATTAAAATTCAAAGTATAATGAAATTGGAATTGGGCTTGCTAAATTTAGTTCTGCTAAACCCCATACCAATAAGGACTAATTCCGATTTTTCATAAAACTCGATTTGTATTTAAAGGCCCAACTTTAACCGAAAAACTCTGGGCCCTTTACCGCTCCAACCCACACCCTCGCTATAAAACCCCGTTAAAAATCTGGCTTCTTAGTTCCCCCTAGGGTGGCCAGTTCAGCTTCTCCAAAATTAAGTTTATTTTGTGTGCATCCCTGCCAAGCAAGTAATGTGTTTTGGTTGGTTCTATAGTAATTGTACAGTTAAAAATTTATTAGGTTTTACCCAGCTTTTAATCAGTTTAAAAGTAAGTTTATTAAATTGGTTTGTGGTAACCCTTTTGCTGTGTGTATTAAAAGTAATGTACTTTTAATTTATAGGAGTTGTAGATTTATGTTACTAATGCCTGATGTTTGTTCTCTTTTTAAGGAAAAACCAACCCACACCATGTCTGAATGAAGATGCTTTGGCGGTGGAACTAACAAAAGAAATGTGAATCATTGTTTTTTTGTTTCTGACTTAGACTTCTTTTACTGGTTTGCTGTTGGGAAAACCTGGAATTATCTTAAACACCATTCCAACACTAGGGGGATTTATATATCCCATTTTATATTAAAAATGGGTCGTTGTTGGTTTTAAAGAGGAAGTCGTTTATGAGTTTCTTTATGAAGTTCGGAAATTTAACTAGGGGTTTTGTTTGTGCAAATATAGCTTTTTAAAAGGGTTCATTTGTTATATGTATACGCAGTATATTGTTTTAGTTTGGACGAGACGCTGGGACTATTAAAACATGGATTCAGTCCCCCGGGACCTTGGGAACTTGGGCCCCCCCCGATCTATGGTTCCCAGTCCGGCAAAGGGACATTTTGACTTGACATTCTTGAAACCCCCCTCCACCTTTGGCAATGGATGGTAAGGAGGTAGGAAGTAGATGAGGGAGTCAAGTGTGCGTTGCGTACTCCCGCGTTGGAGGTTTGTTCCAGACTCAGGGGCTGGCTGGGCAGGGCCAAGGCAACGCAGGACAGGAAAGGCCCACTTGTGCGGGGGCAGGGTTCCCCACCACTTGAGGGGGGGCAGGGCTGGGGTTCCTGAGGGCAGACGGGCCACGCCCACCGGGCGGGGAGTTACCAAAGGAGGAAGAAAAAAAGTGTGTTTTTAGACCGGAGTATAATTGGGAAGGGTTGCGGAAAAAAAACCGTGCTAAAAAGAGGATAAAGGCATTAGGCCCTGTACATTCCTCATTAAATAAGCCACACCAATATCGTTTTCATGTTAGTGGCTAAAAACTTGAAGATATTTTAGTAAAATTCTTGTGGTTGCTGGGTTTATTCCTTAGGGTGTATTTACAGCCAGTTTTTGGGAAGATTGATTTACCGTGTTTCGTTGTTTGCGAAATTGTATTCCACCAACTTTACATCATCCTTATCTTGTATTCTACCGTTTGGTGGTCAATAAAAGGGTGCAGGGCAAACATACCAGGCTGGTAGTGGAGTGTCTGTGTTTGCTTAAGATGCTATGGGGAACCATGCGGTCAGGGGAACCAGGCTTCCCTTTACGGGCCCGGTCAATAACCACTTCCACTTGCTGGCCCCCGTTCGGGTCGGTTAAAATTAACAAAATTTCCTTGGCTTCCCCTCACTGGCGTTCGGTTTCCCTGGTGTTTAGTTCCCCGATCCGTTTCCAGGGGAAGCCAGGAGGGAGCGGGGCCAAGGGGAAATCCCGACACGAGGAAGCGGGGAAAAAAATGAGGTTTTAAAAGGGCAACTGGCGGACGGTCCTTTTCTCCGGAGCGTACCGTGGAAAGCGAACGTCCGTTTGTGATTACGCCGCCACAAGCTGTTTCGGTCTGAACAGCGAAGCTCTGTCCCCGTTTATTTTCACCAAACACCCTGCCACAACACGTTTAAAATGACAAACCATGTGTATCATCTGTTGTAGGACCCCAATAAATTTAAAAATCAATAAGGAAACTCATTCTTCAAAAAAAAGATAAAACCCTGCCATTCTTTAAAATGTATTAAACGTAACCAATAGTTTGCGGATTCTATTGATTTAGAGTTTTTGCCGCACTTAGGGAAATAAATAAGTTGGGGAAAAGAAAAAATCTGGATATATATTAATCTATCCACGAAAAACGCCCGGTTCGAAGATTAACCATTCATTGGATTGCAACACTTTGTGCGTTCCTCGAGCCCCGCCGCAGCGCGCGGTTTTGTCCGCTGCGGCATAGCACCACGTCCACGTAAACACTCGCCCTGTGTACATACAGCTTCAATGACTGACGCCTGAGGGAAGATCGGACCGTTATGACACAATATACAACGACGAACACGAAAAGCAGTTCTCAGCGAAACAATTTTTTTCCCCATAACGCCCAACTCGGCGGAATACAATTGATTTCCTGTGACCGCCCACCCTGTGTGTTTCCAATATTACATCACATTATTTGTAACTAAATGATGCCATGAATTGAAACCCCAAACAATTTAAACCTTGGAAGGGGATACTCCTCGGTTGGTTTCACTTTATTTTTCTCCACTCGCTGGGTACTGCTGTCCCAGGTCAAGGGAAACAAGGGAAAGGCATGAGAATTCAGTGCATTGGCACTGCCCTCGTTCAATCAGTTGAGCGATATACGTTAGGGGGCGGGGCGAGTAGTCCTCAATCGGAGTAATGGGGGGGTGGTCTCCGGATTAATTTCGCTTCGCTCCATTATCGACCTCCTCGCTCCTCCGATCCGTCGGCAAAAATAAAGGAAAGGCCATTTGGGACGGTTTAACTC